TGAATCTCCTTTTATTATGGAGTTATTTATGATGATTGTAATATAAGATTTTATTATTCTTAACTTGAGATAAAAAAAGAGCATTCAGATATAGTTTCTGACTTGTAAATATTTAAATTATAGCTATTTTCAAAAATTCCACTTTTATGTAGGACTAAAATATGGAATGTATTTTTTTCAGAATCAAGTTAAGAGCTTAAGATTCGAGGATACTAAGAGTTAATTTAAGCTATCATATTGAATTTGTCTCCATTAGCAATAAAAAGTTCAAATCTATCTATTAAAAATAGTGCTAAAATATTATTTTCAATTAGCTTGAAATCTATAATAATGTCTTAAATAAAATCTTTTTTGATTAATGATACAAATTCAATTTTAGCACTAAGTCTATAGAAGTTAATTTAAAAGATACACTAGATAAATAAGAAATTTTGGATTATTCCTAAAGTAGAGTATTTTTTAGGAAGAGGCAAACTCAGTTCTTATTAATTATTATTGTAATTATAAACATATGCTTTTTTCTACTTATTAAAACAAAATATATATCTTTTATAAGTCTGATCAATTAAGAATTATGATAAACTTATGTTAGGATCTTCTGTAACTAGAACTTTTAGGTCTATTTATGAAATAATTTTTTTATTCAATGTGTCGATTTAAAAAAGAAGTCCTCCATTTGAAGCAGCATAAGCAAATTATTAAGTAGCAGATATTTCAATTAGTTAAATTGTTATAATTGAAATGTTAATAGGACTCTTTTAAGAGGTGTTGTATAAGAATAACACTTAGTCTGTTAAGTTGTATTAAAGAAGTTAACCATCACTAAATCCTACAATTATTAAATCTTTATTATCATTTACTTTGAATGAAGTTACTATTTAAGTTATATTAAAATTAATTATTTTAATGATAGAACCTGTTAATATATCTAAATGCAAAATCTTTTGATCAAAAGTAATTACAACATTATCAATTATAAACTACTAAAAATTGATCATTTCTAGTTAGTAAATAACAGATTTTAAGTTATTATTTATTCTTGATTAATACTATTGATAGAAAAAAAGAGAGTCTTCAAAAGCTAATATAAATACATCACTACTTTAATTGTATTTTATATCTAAGAGATCTGATTTTAGAATTGATAACTCAAATTTTAATTTATTTTATGAATATCTAAAAACTATATTATCTTTGGCCAATATCAAGTAATCAGTCTATAATTTATTAATCTATATTTAGGTAAATAAACTGAATGGCTCAATTAGAAAGGGTTCACGTTCTAAACCTAACGAACTATAATCTAGTTAGAATACAGAATCACTATATCTTAGATAAATATTGTTAGATAAACTATCATAGCTAATGAATTCAAATAAAGTTAAATCACAACTATAGCATACATTAACAAAGTTTTGAAAAGGTAAATTACTATCTATTGAAGAAATATAAAATGTTCCTTGGCTATCAATAAGCATTACATATCTACTTTAACTTTCATCAAACTAAAAATAAGTAATGTTATTATTTTTTAGTTAATTTTAGTTAACTTTAATTTAATTTATAATTTTTCCTTCAGAAACACCATATATCTAGATAATTGAGAGGTCATCATCATTTTATAATAGTAAATAATTTAAGTGACCAATATAAATAAACTTTATTATTTTAACAAGATCATCTTCTTCAGTCAAAACTTAATTGAAGGTTAAATTGGCCCTGTCTATTAAAATTAAACCTAATTATATAAAATAGATTTTAAAAGATTAAAACAATAAATAGTTTTGAAAACATAAGTTTGAAAAAAAAAATTTTTTTAATTCAAAGAGGGGCAGATAAATTTGATATTTCTTAAAATAATTATTAAGTCTGTTTTTTTAGTGGAATCCAAACAATTTTTTTTTCATTAGCATTTTTATTTGCTTAGGTGTTAAAAAATATTAAAAGTAAAAAATAAAATATTTATTTACCTATTTCTAATTTGCACACAATTTTAATTGTAAATATCATACAATCACTAACTTTTTTTTAAATAGTCTATTTCAAAACTCCAATAGAGCTGTATATTCTAACTTGATTTGGTGTATTCTTTTCATTCTGATAGATAAAAATATTTTCATATATTTCATCAAAAATATATTGAATTTTATTAGTATTATCAATTTTTATTGTTTTTAAGATATTTTAAATTTTATTATACACTAATATTTCTTTAAAATCAGAAATAAATATATTAATGCATACAATTTGAAGTTTAAAATCTGTACAGTCTAAATCTTTCTATTATTGATTATCAATTGAAATATCTTAAACTACATTGAGTTGAGTATCCAAAATTTGGAAGAAGTTACCATATAAATATATTAGTTTATCATTTTTTATGAATTTAGCATTTTTAATAAACTGCTTGGGATAGTCTTTGATAAATTTTTCATTTGTGGTAGTGTTTATTAAAATAATTTAGTTATTATTCTAAAGAATTATTAGCTAGTCATATACTTTGATTTCTTGATATTCTATAGAGTTTACAAAAGAAGTTATAATTTATTAAAAGCCTGTATAAACATCAATTGTCATTAATTATTATTTTAGTAAAATAAACAATTTATCAATTTATTTACTAAATATTGCTTTTTTTATATTTTTATCAGATATCAATTTTCTATTTTTTTAAATTTGAACATGAACATTTTTTTGTATTACTATATCATTAGAAAGAAACCTTTCAAATTCAGTTTTTGTATTTTAAAAATTCTAATAATTAAATGATAAAAAACCTAAACTATTAATTTGGTTTATACTTAGAAAAATCAAAATTTTTCTATCGATATCAATGATGAATTCTTCGATTGAGTAATCAAGAAAATTTACTGCATAATAATATGTTTTTCCTTATTCATTTACTCTTTTTTCAAATTAATCAAAAAAAAGAGTAGTTTTGACTAATTAATAATTACCATCTTAAATGTTTATAAATAGAAGTCCTTCATTGCCTTATAGCACATAAATTTATTTATCATTAACGACTCGATTTATTTATTTTATTCCTGTAAAGCCTTTTAAGTTTAATTTAAATATCTATGATAAAGTAAAATTATAAATTTTAAAACTATTTGATTTATCTATAACAGCTATTTATTCTATCTCATAATTATTATTTATTTAATCCTGATAAGAAGAAAATACTTTTATGAGAAATATTTATTTGAGGTTATTAACTGTAATTAGTTCCTAAGTAGTCTAATTATTGTAATTTATTTAGTAGACAGTCAATTGCCATAAATATTTTCTAATTACCAACATTTTTGAATCCTTATTTAAATAAATAGCTTGTGGTTAATATTAAAATCCACATTTATCAAACAAAGTTTAAAGCTCTAAAGATAAAATAATTAAACAATCGTCTTTATAAAAACCTACTAATACATTATTATAAGCAAATAATGGAGATATTTATTATGGAAAAAAATTCAATATTTTATTGGTAAAAATATCAAGAGCATAAATTCTCTGATTCATATAAATTATTTTATTCTTGTTGAAAAATAATAAATTTTATCCATCATTTATTTTAAACTATTTGTATAATTAGCATTTAGTCTCTTATGAACAATCATAAAAATTTGTCTAATTAAAGTGGGGAAACGAAACCATAAGAGGGGGCTAATAACTAAACATAACTCCTTTTTTAAACTGAAGAAATTTCTTTTTTTTATCTATATAAGGAGTAGGAAATTTTAAATTAAAATTGGTAATTACATCAATTTTTAGTTATTATTTTTGTTATTATAAAAAACCTTAATTTTTGATGATTTAAATTCTATTTATACTTTTACTTACTAATTCATAAATTAATTCTTTCTAACTTGAGCTTTAATTTTGATATTTTATAAGAAGCAAATCAGTTTCTTAATTATCCTGTTAAAATATTTTATCATGTTAAATAAATTACTGTGTGCTTGAATCTAAGTAAAAAACTTGTAATCCATTTGTGTCGAAAAGCACAATTATTTATTTTTCTTTTCCCCATAAATTATAGGCCTCCAAATCTATTACAGAATTATTTATACTAAAGAAAATAGTATTTAAAGAATTTGTTAATAGATTATAGTAAATCAAATAATTTTTTGTAAGAAATATCAAATATTCATTCAAATTAGTATCTTAATATTACAAAATTTTACTTCTTTTAATTTATTATGTATCTTACATTTATAATTCAATAGACTTATAAGAATTATTGACTAAGTTAATTAAATAAGCTGAATTTTCTTAAACTAAAGCATAGATTCCAAACTAAGATGTTGACAGAACATTAAAATATTCACCTTTATTAGAAGCTTAAAATATAAAATGATCTTGAATTTGTAAATTTAAGATATTGTTGGAATTCGATATCACTATCTTTTTAACAATTACGCTATTTGAATTTTAGGTAAACAACCACTAATCAATAAATTTCGATTATTTAATTACTTCGCCTATTGTAAAAGAATTAGACAGAGAAAACATTTAATTTAATAAGTCATAAAATATCTAAAATACATATCCTTTTTCAAAGTTAGCATTAAAAACCATAACATAATGATTATCAATAGAAGTCATCTGAGTGAGGGAATCAAGATGAATCAGATTTGGGGATATTATTTCAGTTTTAGATTCCTTTATAATATCCCAAGTTGATATAGAATTATTGCTTTGGATTAAGAAAATAATAGAATTTATTTAAAATGCATTGAGATCTTTTGCTTAAAAGTTCAAATTTTTTATCAGATTTAAACTGTTTCTATCATAAATAGACATTGAAGTTTCTTTTTAAACCACATAATAATTATATTGATATATAAAAAAGTCTTTTGTCTATGTGATATCATTTATATATTGTTGCGTAGGTTTTTAAACAGAGCATTTTAATTTACTTTAGCATATATTGCTTTACAAATTTTTATAGCTAAAAGCGCTACAAATGGCTACACACCCACCTTCTAAGCTGTTAGCATCATATTGATTCTTGTCATAAAACAAATTACTGCTGCATTTAGTGTAAACGCATAGATTATTATTTGAATCTAACTCATAATCATCTAAACATTTAATGCATATGTTTTAGTTATTGCTAATATTGCAGCTTGAGCATCCTTCTATGCATGCGGTATACGCTTTAATGTAAAATTAGATTAGTAAAAATGCTAAAATGCATTTTTCAGCTCTTAATTTAGTTATCATTTGAAAATATTCTTAATTTAGCTTCTTGTTAATGCTTGCTTTTACAGTCAATATATCAATTAAGTTAAATCTATTCAAAATAGTAATATCTCACAATCTCTCTTTCTAAACTTTTATCTTTCTTATTATTAATTTTATTTAATTAAATTCTTATCTAAATAAGGTAAATCTAAATGGCTTTTCGATTTTGAAAAATTAAATCTAATTTGCTTAACTCATTCAATGTTTAGAGGAAAAACAAAGTCAAATATATAAATCTTAGACTTTGGTTTTGTATAAAAAATAAAACAACAATTTCAAACTGTCTTCTATCAATTTATAAAGGAAAAAACATATTTGATTATTAAAGTAAAAATAAATAAACTAATTTATTGTTTTAATACCTAAAAGATTATTTAATAAATTAAATATATATATTTGATTTTTTTTAAAATGAGCTAAATGTATTTGATTGATATATTGATTATTTTTTTCAAAAATACCACAAAAACGCAATTGATTGATTGATATGATAAATTTATCTGATATTTTATAAATATAGTAGAGTTTACTCTTATTCTTCATCATTAAAAACACTGTTTTAAAAATTTTTTTCATGTCTTTATTAAAAATTTCCATTCAAAATATTATATTGAATTGATAAGTCAAACTCTTTGGGATATGAAATAAAATAGTTTAAAAAATTCATAGGGCTACTATACCTTATTAACTTATATCCAAATGTTATTATAATTTTGTTTTAAAAATAAAATTCAAAATTTTTTAATTACTAAAAATTTTTAATTCTACCTCGTAAACGTACAATTTCATCAAAGAGGTAATACGGTATCTACTAATTCAATTAATCTCTTTAAATTATATAAAAAAATAAGGAAAAGACTCTGTATTTTTTATTGCTAAATAGAAAAGATTAAAAATAAATTAAAAATTAACGATTTTTTTAGAAAAATAATGGTGAATTAGTATTAGTGACAGTGTCAGAAATTACCTTTTGAACATAATGTGTCAAATTTTTTAATTTAGAGACAGGCGTCAGTTTTAAGATACTTGTCCAACTAATTTATTTAATAAACTTATCAGAAATCCCTATTGTAAATCATCTCCTTTTATATATTTGACAATATCTCGTATTACATAAATTTTTAACTCAAATTAATTCTCTTTATTTATAGTAACAAATTACTCTTTTAAACAATAAATTTTTGAAAACTAAAAAATATCTTTTACAGTCAAATATAAATAATTTGCTTTTCATTAAATTCAAGTACTATTAAATTTACCACGAAAGAAATATATTATAAATCTAAAACAAAATCTTTAATTATAGTATCAATATTTTATACTTCAAATAATCCAAAATTAAACGAATTGTAAAAAACAATATTTATTTTTTTTTTAAATTACTTGCTAACAGAGTAATTAATATTAAAAGCAAAATTAAGCCTAATATTTACTTAAAAAAGTAAAGATATGAATGAGTTAGGTTTTTTTATATTTTCAAGAGTTATTCTTATATAATTCAATTTTTTAAATAATTAAATAAATTAAAAATATTGCAAAACAAACTCTTGAAAGAAAACTTTTTTCAAAAATGTAACAATTTGTAAGCTATTATTATGATATTTAGAAAGTAAGTAATTAGTTTTCTTAATAAAATAATTTAAATATTTAATTAAATAAAAGGTTTTGGAAGAAAATAAGACTTCTGAGACTAGTCTTTCTATAGATCTAAGGTAACTTTTTTTACAAATCCTTCATTTATATGTTTAGAAGTAAAGAAAAATATTATTAACCTCAAGTTATATAAAAAGGCAGCACAAAAAATTTCTTTACTTTTTAGTAACAATATCACAATTTTTTTTCTTCTTCTTTTTTATATTATCAAAATAAATTTCTTTCTTTGATTTCATTTTATTTTATTTGGGATTCAATAAAAATTTATTTTTATTTTATAAAAGTTATAAAGAAATTAGTGTGTAGCAAACATAAAACTTAAGCAAATTTTTATATAAATGCAAAAATATTTCATACTTGGTGCTATCTCTATTGTAAATATGGCTTCTATTTATTCTGTGCATAAAAAAATTAATTAAATTAAATATTTTTGAAGAATAAATATATTTTTTTTTGCTAAGAATAAAATATTTAAATAAATATTTTAGTATCTTAATGATATATATTGTATTTGTTGATACTAGTTTGTTTTTATTATTAAAATTAATTAAATATAAAATGGCAATTTTATATTTTTAGAGGTAACAAAATAGGTACAGAAGGTACAAAAGCTTTAGGAATTTGTCTAGAAAACTGCTTAAACATTAAAACTTTAGTTCTCACGCTTGGGTAAATATTTTTTACTTTTACTTTTAGTTTAATTTTAAATTTTTGAATTTCAATATAATTCACAAATACTTAAAATTAATTCTTAATTATCTTCCTATTTTAATACTTGTTGTCATTAATTAAATAACAAATAGTATGAACAAAATTTGTGATGAAGGATTAATTCACTTAGCTAAAGGCTTAGCACAATTAAAGAACATGACATACTTAGCATTTTATTTAGTGTAATAAATTTAAGAGTTTTTGAGAAAAATTATAATTAATAAACTAAAAAAAATATTTTCTCTCTTTAAATTTTATTTAAAATGAATTATTTTAATTTTGCTTTTATATAAAAATATTTTTAGTAGCAATTAGATTAAAGCAGAGGGGGCATAAAAATTAGGAGAATCTCTGGGAGAGTGTTCGAATCTCACAACTTTGACGGTCTCTTTAAAGTATAAATCATTATGCTTCAAATATATCAATTAAAATAAATAGTATTAAAAAAGCTTAATATACAAAACAAAATAAATACAAATTATTAAATTACTTTTATTTAATGCTTTAATAAATATTTATTTATTTGTATATTCATTATTTTTGCTATTTATATGAAAGTGATAATAAAATTGGGTTTGCTGGAGCTTAAAAATTGGTGTAAGGTTTATCTAAATGTTAAAAGCTCACAGAGTTAGTTTTGGAATTCATGTTTTTAATTTAATTTATAAATATTTATTTTTACAACATTTTCTAATAAAATTTTAAAAGGTATAACAAACTTAATGATAAGGATTTAAGCATAGGTTTGGCTTTATAGAACTTCTAATAATTAACAAAATTATCTCTTAATGCTGAGTAATAATTAATTTAATTTAAGTTATCATTTAATTTTAGATATAACTAAAGATTGATTTTCATTCATAAAAAATATTTCTATTAGTTTAAATATGATTCTTTTTATAAAAATTTAATATAAGTAAAAATTAAATTGGTAATCTTGGTGCTGCAGCTATAGGTAATTCATTAGTTAGTCTTAAAAATCTTAGTAGCTTAAATCTTAGCTTAAAGTAATGGTTTATACTTATTCAAATAATTTGAATCTTGCAAAATTCTTAAAAATTATTTATTTTAATTTTCTCATTTAAATTTTTAAAAAAGATACTGCATTAATTTAATACAAATATTTTTAATTTAGTATTTTATAAATTTTATTTTTATAAATTACAAAATCTTAGTGAAAATAATATTGATGATGAAGGATTTTCTCAAATTTGCTCTTGCTTACAAAATATGATCAAACTCTAAAAATTGGAGCTTTATTTTAGGTAAAAAAGGCCACTAAAATAATTTGATTAAGTTTTAAATATTAAAAACCATTTTTCAAATATTAATTATTTTTAATTAGCTACAATAGAATTAAAAGTGAAGGTTTGTTGGCATTTCACTCTGCTTTAATCAATTGTGAAACTATTAAGGAATTGATAATTTTTCTAGAGTAAATAAATTATTAATTTTTAAATATAAAATTATTTTGATTAAATTAAAAGTTTAAATATCCAAAAATATTTTTATAATAAATATCTAATTTTAATTAGCTTTAACAGAATTGATAATGAAGGTCTCTTTTATTTAGGTTCAGCTTTATCTAAATGCAAAAGAATTCTGTTTTTGACTATTCAACTTGAGTAAATTAATATATTTATTTTTTTCTTAAATAAAATAATAAAAATATTATTCAAACATATAATTTACAATTTACCTTAATAGCCAATATGTACTTAAATTTTCTTCTTAAGTGAGTTTACTATTTATTTATATATAAAATAGATATAACTATTTTGATACATAAACTTTGCATAAGTTCAAAACACAGATGGAAAAGTCAAGGAGTCTGTTAATATACTCATTTGATTTAGATATCTACATTACTAATAAAAATTACCAAGAATTAATTTTTGATGAAGATGATGTAGATGATTATATTAGTGATAGTCAAAGTGATAAAGAGAGTGATAGTATCGATTCAATTAAAGAAAATAATAATCAATAAGAAGATTATCAATCAATATTAGATTGAAAACATAGAAAAACAAAATGAAGAAATGAATAATAGATAATAATCAATTTTCAAATTAATGAAGAGAAAATAAAAATATTCAAAAATTATAAATAAAACAATTATATTTTTAATAAAAAATTTTAATTAAGTAAGATTAGTATCAATATTGTTTTAATATTTTTTCGCTAAAGCCAATTATTTTTAATAAAACAAACTGATTTAGCTTGTTTTTTATTTTATTTTTTCATAAATTTTTGAATGAAAATATGAAATAAGATAGGAAACAAATGAACTGAAAAAAGATAACTTCATATTTTTAAATAAAATGAGAAGCCAACTTTAAATAGATTTTCTCTTTAAAATTATTATGATCAATATAAAACAGAAATAATTTTGAAATATTTAATTAATTTTAATAATCAGAAATATTTAAATTAAGAAAAATATACATTTCATAGTTTATTTTTAAGCCTATTATTTTCAAAAAGATTCAGCTGATTATTCTATGTATTAGAATAAAAGCCCCCTTAAATAGTAGTCCTTACTATAAGAGTATAGACATAAATTATTTTTTTATTTTTTTGGAGCTGAATTAAAAATTAAAAATAAATATCTATGTTTTTTTAAGTAAAATAACAAAATAAAAACATAAAATAAATTTCATCAAATGAATTTTATATTTTGATAAATTTACCTACACATAAAGATTTTTACTTTTTTGATTTTATTTAAAATTAATTTATAATTCATTAAACTTCTAATTTTACTAATCTGATTGCCTTTTTGAAAATTAAATTTTGCTAAAGGAGTTACTAAATTCTTATTTTATAAAATGCCTCCATGCTGCTCATACTTGCTTGAATTTTAGAAGCAAGAGAATTTTTTTTTTTAGTTTATATTTCTTCTATTGTGTCTTATTGAGAATTTAAGGATTCACTTTACAAAATTATATCAGTTTTTTATTTTAAACTCTTTTAAGAGCTGCTGAGATTTTAAAAACTCAAACTGGCATAGTTTAAGTTCGAGCATTTTCTTACATTGCTTAAAAAGATTTTATAATTGAATTAAAAAGAATACCCTTTACCAAAAATAAAATAAATTTATTTTAAATATTTTAAGCTAGGTAAAACTCCAAATAATTCTTAATATAAATCATCTGTTAATTAAATTATTTTTAATTTCAGTCTTAGTTTACTAATATAGGGACTGTGTCTTATTAAACTTGAGAATGAATATTACTTAACAAAGAATTTTTAAGAATTTATTATAAGACTTAGGTCATTAAGCTCTTTTAAGTTTTCAAATGATTATTTATAATGGCAGATGATTTTATCATTTAATTATGAGTTGTTTAATTTCATATTTAATTGATGCAATTAATCAAATCTAGACACTTATTATATATATTTATATAAATTCTATTCATTGTATTAAGTGAGGTCTATAGAGAGAGATGTAACTATACTATAGCTATTCAAAATCTACAATCCTAATAAGTTGCTAAAATTAATATTTTTATTTGCTTATATTTATTCTTCAATTTTCAAATATTTTATCTTCCTCTAAAATTTTTCTTCAGTTTCATTGTGAATTTCTTAATGTTTTTCTTCAACATATTGACTTTAATTTTACAAAATTAAAGTAAAGTATTCTAAATTGCTTAAAAAAACTGGAATTTTTTATAAATTACTCTAATTTACGCTCGAAAGAATAAGGTCAAGTTATAATTTTTAGAGTTAATTTTATTTTATAATGGAGTTTACTAATTATTATGTTGCTTAAGCATCAAGTTAAGTTTATCTTAATTTTATTTTCAAAGTTTACAAATGCTTAAGCTGGAGCTCAATAATATTGAAAAATGGTTAAGGAACTTATATTTCAGACAAATTAATCTTGAGCGTGCTTAAATTTTGAAAATTTGTAATAATTTTATTAATTTATTCTGATTATTTTGGAGAAACTTAAACATTACAAAAATTTAATTTAAGTTGTTTTATTTGCTATTCATTCATTTATTTTAAAAATTCTAGAATATAGTTATTATTACACTCATTAGTAGTATTAATTATACCTAGCTTTTAGATTTAGATATTTTGATATAAAACTTTAGCTAATTCAATTATTAGCTCTTATTTTATATCTAAAATAGAAGAGTCAAAACAAATTTTAATTGTTGAGTTTAGCTACTTGTTTTTAAGTTACTAACTTAGATTAAAAAGTATTTCTGAACTCAAGTCCAAGATTTGAATATTTAAAATTGTATTTTACATATTTTGGCTTTCATTTATTGATTTAGTTTAGAAAACCTTTTGTTAGTTTAAGTCTTTAGAAGGATTTTGATTTATAAAATTTTCCATTTTTTTTCGCTTTACTTTTTTCACTTATTTTTAATTAACCAAACCAAATGGAAATATAATTTGTAGTCAAAATAGTATTATTTAATAATATAACAATCTATAAATAATTAATTTCTAAATAAAATATCATCTACTTAGATACTTAAAATATATTTTTATCATAAAAAAATAATAAATTTGAATTATAGGGTTAAATATAGATATTTCAATAAATAATTATCTAAATTTTTAAATCAAAGTATTTATTCAATTATAAAAACAAAATAGAAATTTAAAAATATTAATTAAGAAAAATGAATATTTAATTTATTTAGTGTTTAACATTAAAAAAAAACTGCTCAACATTCTAAATTTATTTATTTTTATTTGTCAATTAAAGTATTCTAAATTCTATCTATTATTTTTGAAAAAAATACAGTTTTTGATTTAAAAGTAAATATAATATTAATAATATATTAGAACTTTTTATTAATTTAAAAATTTTATACATCAATATTCATTTTTATTGAAAATTATTCTGCTCATAAAAACAAAATCGATAATAAGATTAACATATTCAAAAAAAAACTATAATTTTTTATTATTCATTTGTGAATATTATTTTTTTTGATGAAATTATTGCTATTTTCATAAAATTGCATTTTTTGTATATTGAAGTAAGCAAGCAGATTGGGGTTTTAATTATTTTAAAAAATTAAAAAATCTTCTGAATGCTGAATTAAAATTAAAAAAAAAATTATCTATGTTTTTTTAGTTAAATATCAAAACAAAAACATAATATATATTTCTTCAAATAACTTTTAATATTTTATTTTGATGAATTTACCCATACATATAGATTTATTTTCGCTATGTTGGTTTTGTTGGTTTGGTTTAAAATTAATTAATAATTCATTAAACTTCTAGTTTTACTAATCTGATTGCCTTTTTGAAAATTAAATTTTGTTAAAGAAGTTACTAATTTCTTCTTTTTTAAACGACCTACATGCTTAGCCACTTTGCTTGAATTATAGAAGCGAAAAAATTACTTTTTTAAATTTATATTTCTTCTGTTGTGTCTTTTTGAAAATATAACGATTCATTTTACAGAATTATATCAGTTTTTAATTTTAAGCTCTTTTAAGAGCTGTTGAGATTTTAAAAACTCAAACTGGCATAGTTTAAGTTCAAGCATTTTCTTAGATTGCTTCCAAAAATTTAATAATTGAATTACATAGAATGCCCTTTATCAAAAATAAAATAAATTTATTTTAAATATTTTAAGCCAGGTAAAACTCCAAATAATTCTTAATATAAAGCATCTGTTAATTATATTGTTTTTAATTGCAGTCTTAATTTACTAATATAGGGACTGTGTCTTATTAAACTTGAGAATAAATATTAATTATCAAAGTATACATGAGAATTTATTGTAAGACTAAGGTCATTAAGCTCTTTTAAGTTTTCAAATGATTATTTATAATGGCAGATGATTTTATCATTTAATTATGAGTTGGCTAATGTCATATTTAATTGATGCAATTAATCAAATCTAGACACTTATTATATATATTTATATAAATTTTATTCATTGTATTGAGTGAGGTCTGTAGAGAGAGATGTAACCATGCTATAGCTATTCAAAATCTACAATCCTAATAAGTTACTAAAATTCATATTTTCATTCGCTTATATTTATTCTTCAATTTTCAAATATTTTATCTTCCTCTAAAATTTTTCTTCAGTTTCATTGTGAATTTCTTAATTTTTTTCTTCAGCATTTTGATTTTAATTTTACAAAATTAAACTAAAGCATTCTAAATTGCTTAAAAAAACTGGAATTTTTTATAAATTACTCTAATTTAAGCTCGAAAGAATAAGGTCAAGTTATAATTTTTAGAGTTAATTTTATTAAATTATGGAGTTTACTAATTGTTATGTTGCTTAAGTATCAAGTTAAGTTTATCTTAATTTTATTTTCAAAGTTTACAAATGCTTAAGTTGGTGCTAAATAATATTGAAAAATTATTAAGGAACTAATATTTCAGACAAATTAATCTTGAGTGAACTTAGATTTTGAAAATTTGTAATAGTTTTATTAATTTATTCTGATTATTCTGGAGAAATTTAAACATTACAAAAATTTAATTTAAGTTGTTTTATTTGTTATTCATTCATTTATTTTAAAAATTCTAGATAATAGTTATTATTACACTCATTAGTATTATTAATTATACCTAGATTTTAGATTTAGATATTTTGATATAAAACTTTAGCTAATTCAATTATTAGCTCTTATTTTATATCTAAAATAGAAGAGTCAAAACAAATTTTAATTGTTGAGTTTAGCTACTTGTTTTTAAGTTACTAACTTAGATTAAAAAGTATTTCTGAACTCAAGTCCAAGATTTGAATATTTAAAATTTTATTTTATTTATTTTAGCTTTCATTAAAAGATTTAGTTTAGAAAACTTTTTATTGATTCACGTTTTTAAACGGATTTTGATTTAATAAATTTTTCATTTTTTTTTTCGCTTTACTTTTTTCACTTATTTTTAATTAGCCAAGCCAAATGGAAATATAATTTGTGGTTAAAATAGTAAATTAAATATTAATAACAATCAATAAATAAGGAATTTCTAAATAAAACATCATCTACTTAGAAACTTAAAATTTTTTTTTATATCATAAAAAAAATTATAAATTTGAATTAAAGGGTTAATATAGACAGATAAGAGAATTCATTAAATAATATTTATTCAAAATTTAAAAGTAGAATATGAATAAATATTCTTCTATTTAAATAAATAATTATCTAAATATTTAAAACAAAGTATTTATTCAATAAAAAAAACAAAATAGAAATTTAAAAATTTTAAATTAGAAAAATGAATTTTATATTTACTTAAATGTTCAAGTTAAAAAAAATTTTTTTTTGACCAACATTCTAAATTTATTTATTAATTTTTTTTATAGGAAAACTAGACATAACTTATTTTTTATTTTTTTGGAGTTGAATTAAAAATTAAAAATAAATATCTATGTTTTTTTAAGTAAAATAACAAAACAAAAACATAAAATAAATTTCATCAAATAACTTTTAATTTTATATTTTGGTGGATTTACCCACACATAAAGATTTTCACTTTGTTGATTTTATTTAAAATTAATTTATAATTCATTAAACTTCTAGTTTTACTAATCTGATTGCCTTTTTGAAAATATAATTTTGATAAAGAAGTTCCTTACTTCTTGTTTTTTCAAAGGCCAAATTGCTTAGATAAAATGCTTTAATTTAGGAAGAAAAAAAATTTATTTTTTAAATTCTTATTTCTTCTATTTTGTCTTATTGAGAATTTAAAGATTCATCTTACAAAATTATATCAGTTTTTAATTTTAAACTCTTTTAAGAGCTGTTGAGATTTTAAAAACTCAAACTGGCATAGTTTAAGTTCAAGCATTTTCTTAGATTGCTTCCAAAAATTTAATAATTGAATTACATAGAATTATCAAAAATAAAATAAATTTATTTTAAATATTTTAAGCCAGGTAAAACTCCAAATAATTCTTAATATAAAGTATCTGTTAATTTAATTGTTTTTAATTAGAGTGTTAGCTTACTAATATAGGGACTGTAACTTATTAAACTTGAGAATAAATATTAGTCATCAAAGTTTTTATGAGAATTTATTGTAAGACTAAGGTCATTAAGCTCTTTTAAGTTTTCAAATGATTATTTATAATGGCAGATGATTTTATCATTTAATTATGAGTTGCTTAATGTCATATTTAATTGATTTAATTAATCAAATCTAGACACTTATTATATATATTTATATAAATTCTATTCATTATATTAAGTGAGGTCAGTAGAGAGAGATGTAACCATACTATATCTTTTCAAAATCTACAATCCTAATAAGTTACTAAAATTCATATTTTCATTTTTTTATATTTATTCTTCAATTTTCAAATATTTTATCTTCCTCTAAAATTTTTCTTCAGTTTCATTGTGAATTTCTTAATTTTTTTCTTCAGCATATTGGTTTTAATTTTACAGAATTAAACTAAAGCATTCTAAATTGCTTAAAAAAACTGGAATTTTTTATAAATTACTCTAATTTAAGCTCTAAAGAATAAGGTCAAGTTATAATTTTTAGAGTTAATTTTATTAAATTATAGAGTTTACTAATTATTATGTTGCTTAAGCATCAAGTTAAGTTTATCTTAATTTTATTTTCAAAGTTTACAAATGCTTAAACTGGTGCTAAATAATATTGAAGAATTGTTAAGGAATTTATATTTTCGACAAACTAATCTTGAGCAAGTTTAAATTTTGAAAATTTGTAATAGTTTTATTAATTTATTCTGATTATTCTGGAGAAATTTAAACATTACAAAAATTTAATTTAAATTGCTTTATTTGTTATTAATTAATTTATTTCAAAAATTCTAGAATATAGTTATTATTAGACTCATTAGTAGTATTAATTATACCTAGCTTTTAGATTTAGATATTTTGATATAAAACTTTAGCTAATTCAATTATTAGCTCTTATTTTATATCTAAAATAGAAGAGTTGAAATAAATATTAATTGTTGAGTTTAGCTACTTGTTTTTAAGTTACTAACTTAGATTAAAAAGTATTTCTGAACTCAAGTTCAAGATTTGAATATTTAAAATTGTATTTTAAATATTTTAGCTTTCATTTATAGATTTAGTTTGAAAATCTTTTTATTGATTCATGTTTTTAAAAGGATTTTGATTTATTATATTTTCCATTTTTTTTTCGCTTTAATTTTTTCACTTATTTTTAATTAACCAAACCAAATGGAAATATAATTTGTAGTCAAAATAGTATTATTTAATACTAATAACAATCAATAAATAATGAATTTCTAAATAAAACATCATCTACTTAGATACATAAATATTTTTTTATCATAAAAATAATAAATTTGAATTAGAGGGTTAAATACAGAGATTTAAATAAATAATGATCTAAATTTTTAAATGAAAGTATTTATTCAATTATAAAAACAAAATAGAGATTTTAAAATATTTATTCAGAAAAATGAATAATTAATTTATTTAATGTTTATACATTAAAATAATTTTTTTTGCTCAACATTCTAAATTTATTTATTAATTTTTATTTGTCAATTAAAGTATTATTAAATAAATATATTATTTTTGAAAAAAACAATTTTTTATTAAAAAGTAAATATATTATTAATAAATAAGATATTAGAACTTTTCATTAATTTAAAAATTTTATACATTAATATTCATTTTTATTGTAAATTATTCTATTTATAAAAATAAAATCGATAAGAAGATTAATATATTCAAAAAAAAATACTTATTTTTTATTATTCATTTGTGAATATTATTTATTGTTATACTTGAACTTTTCATTAATTTAAAAATTTTATACATCAATATTCATTTTTATTGAAAATTATTCTACTCATAAAAACAAAATCGATAATAAGATTAACATATTCAAAAAAAAACTATAATTTTTTATTATTCATTTGTGAATATTATTTTTTTTGATGAAATTATTGCTATTTTCATAAAATTGCATTTTTTGTATATTGAAGTAAGCAAGCAGATTGGGGTTTTAATTATTTTAAAAAATTAAAAAATCTTCTGAATGGTAAAAATTAATAAATTTCATCTCATAATTTTTAATATTTTATTTTGATGAATTAACCCACACATATAGATTTTCACTCTATTGATTTGATTCAAAATTAATTTATAATTCATTAAACTTCTAGTTTTACTAATCTGATTGCCTTTTTGAAAAATAAGTTTTGCTAAAGTAGTTACTAACTTCTATTTTAATAGACATTCCTGCTTCGCCACCTTTTTTGAATTTAAGAATCTAAAAAATTACTTTTTTAAATTTTTATTTCTTCTGTTGTGTCCTTTTGAGAATTTAAGGATTCGTTTTACAGAATTATATCAGTTTTTAATTTTAAACTCTTTTAAGAGCTGTTGAGATTTTAAAAACTCAATCTGGCATAATTTAAATTCGAGAAATTTCTTACATTGCTTCCTAAAATTTAATAATTGAATTACATACAATGCCCTTTATCAAAAATAAAATTAATTTATTTTAAATATTTTAAGCTTTGTAAAACTCCAAATAGTTCTTAATATAAAGCATCTGTTAATTATATTGTTTTTAATTGCAGTCTTAGTTAACTAATATAGGGACAGTGTCTTATTAAACTTGAGAATAAATATTAATTATCAAAGTATTCATTAGAGTTTATTGTAAGACTAAGGTCATTAAGCTCTTTTAAGTTTTCAAATGATTATTTATAATGGCAGATGATTTTATCATTTAATTATGAGTTGTTTAATGTCATATTTAATTAATTTAATTAATCAAATCTAGACACTTATTATATATATTTATATAAATTCTATTCATTGTATTAAGTGAGGTCTATAGAGAGAGATGTAACCATACTATAGCTATTCAAAATCTACAATCCTAATAAGTTGCTAAAATTCTTATTTTCATTTGTTTATATTTATTCTTCAATTTTCAAATATTTTATCTACCTCTAAAATTTTTCTTCAATTTCATTGTGAATTTCTTATTGTTTTTCATCAACATATTGATTTTAATTTTACAAAATTAAAGTAAAGTATTCTAAATTGCTTAAAAAAACTGGAATTTTTTATAAATTACTCTAATTTAAGTTCGAAAGAATAAGGTCAAGCTATAATTTTTAGAGTTAATTTTATTATATAATAGAGTTTACTAATTATTATGTTACTTAAGTATCAAGTTAAGTTTATATTAATTTTATTTTCAAAGTTTATAAATGCTTAAGCTGGTGCTAAATAATATTGAAAAATTATTAAGGAACTTATATTTCAGACAAATTAATCTTGAGTGAGCTTAGATTTTGAAAATTTGTAATAGTTTTATTAATTTATTCTGATTATTCTGGAGTAATTTAAACATTACAAAAATTTAATTTAAGTTGTTTTATTTGTTATTCATTCATTTATTTCAAAAATTCTAGAATATAGTTATTATTAGACTCATTAGTAGTATTAATTATACCTAGCTTTTAGATTTAGATATTTTGATATAAAACTTTAGCTAATTCAATTATTAGCTCTTATTTTATATCTAAAATAGAAGAGTCAAAACAAATTTTAATTGATGAGTTTAGCTACTTGTTTTTAAGTTACTAACTTAGATTAAAAAGTATTTCTGAACTCAAGTCCAAGATTTGAATATTTAAAATTGTATTTTACATATTTTGGCTTTCATTTAATGATTTAGTTTGAAAATCTTTTTATTGATTCATGTTTTTAAAAGGATTTTGATTTTTTAAATTTTCCATTTTTTTTCGCTTTTACTTTTTTCACTTTATTTTTAATTA